TGGACGCGCTTGGTGCACCCCTTTGTGGGCTTTGTGCACAGTCTTGTTGTAGTTAGGCCTTGATTATAGTTGCTATCACTGGGATGAATTGACCTCAAGGCCAATTGGCTATGAGAATCAGCTATGTCTATGGTAGGATAACTTCTGTGCTGGAGACACCCTTATGGGGCAAGAATTGCTTCAGTGGTGCTTTGGTGCTCACTGAGTCTGCCCCCTGAGTGTGTCCCTTATGGATCCGAAGGGTTGTAATCTGGATGGTCCCACTCTGACCACTGGGTACACTGGCACTTGGATCTCTAAGGAGGAGGCATAGGTAAACACCTGAAATTGCTGTCTTGAATAACCACTCCAAAAATACAACTAAAAGACAAAATGGACATCATCCAGAACCACAGGAAGGCTGGCTTAGTGGAAATTCTAAAAGGAAAGAGAAAAGCATACTGAGACTCAGGGGAGGTTCAGAAATAAGGTGCAGAGGTAGGGAAGCGCACACGGAAAGGTCTGGCAACTGAGGACGCGGTTGTCTTTTTCAATCAGGAGGGAGACACATGCTCCCGCTCTGAACTCCAGTTCCGGGCTAGTCTCTGGGGACCCAGACTCGTATGGGGAGAAACTGGACTGTCTGGCAGCAGGCTGAACTTGAGGGCGGCTTTCTCTCAGAAGTGCTTGCAGGGATTACTTGGACACTGAGACCCAGGGCCTCTTAGGGCAGGGCTGAGGATCAGCCATAGCTGTTTGCTCCACCCTGTTGATTCCCTGAGACCCTGCCTCACCCAAACTGTGCTCAGAGGCTTTTGCATATGAATGATCTGGCCTTTTACAATCTAAAATTACCTAACAAACTGCAGCTGGGTCAGAATGACTCAGAACATCCAAAAGAAGGCCCAAGGCCCCACAGCAGCTTGCATTGCTTCACAGCTGGGCCTCATCTGGGCACCTCCAAATCCCATGCAAAGAAGAGGAATCTGCAGATCTCTCCATAGCTCCTGCTGGGTAGCCACAGGCAGAGTCTAAATTAGCACCTCCTTAGAGATCCAAATGTTAACATTTTGATTTCCTTAAAATTCCCGTCACTTGGAATGACTCCTAATATGGAAAATATGTTTAATTTAGATTAAATAAATAAATTCTGGCTAAATATAAAACTATATTATTCACATGCTTATACATAGCAAATTTTCAGAATAACAAGACACTATCATGAATTGTTGAATCACTAAGATCAGGTAAAGTGCACTTTGTGTAAACAGTACAGTTTTATGGACAAGCATCATTAGTTCTATGTGACTACTGCCCAGGTCATACAATATAACATGAAATCATATTGTATGTACTCTTTTGCATCTTTCTTCTTAAACTCAACATTATTCCTGTGAGATGACTCTATGTTATGATGTGTAGTATTTTTCATAACTGTGTATTATTCCATTGTTTCACTATACTACAACCTATGAGACATTTTATGACCTACAAGTGGCCCAGTGCACAAAATTCGTGCATGAAGGGGGGCTACTCAGCCCAGCCTGCACCCTCTCCAATCGGGGACCCCTTGGGGGATGTCTGACTGCCGTTTTAGGTCTGATCCCTATGTACTGCTGGCTCCTATCCACTCATCTGCCTGCTTGCCTGATCGTTCCTAACTGCCTCTGCCTGCCTGCTTGATTGTCCCTAACCCCTCTGCCTGCCTGCTTGATCGCCCCTAACTGCCCTCCCCTGTAGGCCTGATCTCACCCCCAATTGCCCTCCCCTGCTGGCCAATTTAGTTCTCATTGGTCGGTTTCTATGCCAGTCAACATCAAAAGCTCCACCTCCTAGGCAGCCATTGACTCCTCATAGTTCACCCAGATTTGGTTATGATTGGTTGGTTTTATGCCAGTCAGTGTCTTTGGTCCTATCTCTGGGCCTGATCAGAGAGGTGGGGCTGATCAGCAACCCTGGTGGTGGAGGCCTGGAGAGAAACAGAGGCTGGCGAAGCCAGGAAAGAAAGAGAGAGGCAAAGGCTGATTAACAGCTGCCACGGAGGCTGCGGATCAGGCCCCGACTCTCTCTGGGCCTCATCCATAGCCCCTTTGTCACTCAGTGCTGGGTCACCACAGCAACCCAGCACTGACTGCAGGACTGACTTCCAGTGTTCAGGCGAATCTTCGGTCGGTCGTTATGGACTCTGGGTTTTTATATATTAGGATGGTTGTTTCAGATGTCATAAGTCCAGGGAATTTCAAAATAATGTATACACACTTTAACAGCTGATAGCTCAATTTTGAAAATGAAATGTATTTTAATAAACTCTGCCATTAAAATTATTGTGTATACATTTTTTGAGATGATATATATATATATTATTATTAATTCTGTTTCTATGGAGAATCCTTGACTACTATAATCATCTCATTAAATAGATTCCTATTATTTGATGTATTTAAGGCTATTATAAGTAGTATTTTTTATACTTTATTAACTATTGTTAGTATATAGAAATGCAAATGGATTTTATGTTGACCTTGTTTTCAATGAGCTTGCTAAAATCACATACTGATTTTTAAGTCTGTAGATTATTTTGGATTATCTACCTACACAATGATTTTTTTTGTGAAGAATGAATTTTTTTTCTTTTTCCCCAATTTTTAAGACCCTCTATATTTTAATCTGGCCCTATCAAGCTGGCTAGGACATCCTGCATAGTGATGAATAACTTTGGTGGCTATCAGAATCTTTTTGCATTGCTTCTGCTCTCAGGGGGTATATTTGAATATTTTACCTTCAAGCATGAAGTTTGCTGAAGGGTTTTTTTCCTCTAAATACCCATAAGCAAATGATAGTTGTTCCCTTCTATTCCTAGATTACTAGGAAATTTTATTATGAATGAATTTTTTCAAAGACTTTGTCTCTGTTTATTGAGAAAATCATGTTTGTTTTCTTAGGCATCATTTGTTCATTGATTATTTTTCACATGGTAGACCAAACTTGAATGCCTTACATAGATCTAATTTGGATGGCATTTATTACCCATTCATACCTGATTTGCCACTATCTTGCTTAGGGGTCTATCATCTGTGTTCAGAGATGAGATTCATCTCTTTGCTTTCTATACCCTTATCAGTTTTTGTATAAAGGTTATGCTAGCCTTATAAAATAACTTCCTATTATCTTGAAAAAATTTTATATGGGAGTTATTGATGCTATTTTTTCCTTAAATATTTGGAAGAATTAACCCTGGAAGTCATCAGGACTTGGAGTTCTCTTTGAGAGAAGGATTTTAATTATATATTTAAGTCTATAATGGATATAAACTTTTCTAGGTTTCCTATTTCTTCTTTGTCTGGTAATAAGTAATATTCTTCAAGGAGTTTAAACATTTCATCTAAATTATCATACCAAATTAGTCATAGTATACTGGTTAAATTTTGACATCTGTAAGATTGGTAATGATATGCCCATATGTATTCTTTGAAAAACTTTTCCCTCTATTTGACTTCAAGGATTCTACATTCTCTTGATTTTGAGTCTCCCTCACCAGTCATTTTTTCTGTCTGCTTCACTGCTTTCTTTCCATATCCTATACCTCTAGATCAGCGGTTCTCAACCTGTGGGTCGCGACCCCTTTGGGAGTCAAATGACCCTTTCACAGGGGTCGCCTAAGACCATCAGAAAACACATATATAATTACATATTGTTTTTGTGATCAATCACTATGCTTTAATTATGTTCAATTTGTAACAATGAAATTGGGGGTCACCACAACATGCACTAACATTAGAGTATAAAAAAGGAATTATTTTTTCATAGAGAACCACTGAAAAGGTTTAATGGTAGCTTTATTTTATTTGGCTTTGGAGTTGTGCAACAGTTAAAAAATTCTATTATTTACATATATTGATAAAAGTACTTTAAAATATGGAACCAAGTACAATGATCTTGCTTCATATCTTCTAAATATATTCAGTTGGAAGATAAAGTATCATTTTAGACATAACAGAAAGACTTAACTGTGTCCCTGACTTTAAAAAACCTGCTCTCTGCACATGTTTTCACATCTGTATTAAAGATAATGTTTTACTTACAGGTTAATTGAGATTCAGAGGCTAGTAAGTAATCCTTATACCAAGGATGGTGCTTCTTGAACTGGTTAGGTCAAAGTTAGGACAGTGTTTTCATAATAATCATTGATAAATGAATCATCTTAAAATTTTGATAAAAATTGAAAAAGGCAAACTGAATTATTCCTGAGGTCAATCTCTATATATCAAAGCCCAGCGACAGGAACAGGGAATGACCAGAATCTCCAGTTGTAATGATGTTCACTGTGGCGGCCAACCGGGCTGATACAGGCCCTGATCAGCTCCCTGCAACCTCCCGCGGCCAGCCCCACCCCTGATTGGCCCCCTCACCCCAATCAGGGAAGGGGCCAACTGGCCAACCTCCTACAGCCCCTTGCCCATGTGGCTGGCCCCCACATAGGACCTGATCCGGGGACTGGCCAGCCAACCTCCTGAGGCTCCTCTCCCCAGCAGCCCCCCCCATCATAGGCCTCGATCGCCAGCTAGGCCTAGGGACCCCACCCATGTGCAGATTTGTGCCCCAGGCCTCTAGTTTTTAAATCAAGGTTAGAGACTACATTAATAAAATGTCTGTTAATTTATCCAAAAACCAAGAAGGAATGAATGAATTGAAAAGTAATATAAAACATGTAAAATACCATAAAAAACTGCTCAATTTTTAAAATACAACATGAGAGGAAATATCCATATGTTATTCTAAACTAGAACGTAATTGCTATACCAGTGAAGAGGTGCATTTTTAATATCATAAATCATTTGGGTAGGATATTTTTATTGTCATTGTTTTCTTATGACCACAGATCATTGTCCAGGATTTTTAATTCTTTAACTTTTTATAAAATATAAAGCGTTGAAAGAGTTTTCAGAAATTTATTGCATTCATAAAAGCTTGTTTAGGTTCCCAATTTTTATATAATTTGTGTAAATACCTCTTGACTCTGCATATACATAGGTTATTCACTCATTTATATTTCTAACCAAATAGCAAACATTTGTGAATTCAAAATATATATCCATCTATGTTTTTCAGGGTTTTAGCTCTTTGATAAAAACTCCAATTTAAAATTTGTTTCAGAAGATAACATTTCTGTGTGGTCATCATTATGGATTTATTATTTCATCAAATGTTTATCAAGCACCTTCTTTTTTTAAAAAATATATTTTATTGATTTTTTACAGAGAGAAAGGGAGAGAGATAGAGAGTCAGAAACATCGATGAGAGAGAGACATCGATCAGCCACCTCCTGCACATCCCCCACTGGGGATGTGCCCGCAACCCAGGTACATGCCCTTGACCGGAATCGAACCTGGGACCTTTCAGTCCGCAGGCTGACGCTCCACCCACCTAGCCAAACCGGTTTCGGCAAGCACCTTCTTTTTATTAAGATTCTGTGCTAAGCATTGGACTGAACAAGATGAAGTCTTTGC